AACAGAAAACCCACAGAATGGGAGAAAATCTTCACCAGTGACACATCTGATAGAGGTTTAATTACCATAATAGACAATTAACTCAAAAAAACAGAGAAGCAAGACAAGAAGCAACCCAATTAAAAGATGGGCTAAGGAGCTGAACAGAGAGTTCTCAAAAGAAGAAATAAAGATGGCTATGAAACATCTTAAAAGATGTTCAACATCACTAATAATTAGGGAAATGCAAATTAAAACCACTTTAAGAGTTCACCTTACCCCAGTCAGACTGGCTAAGATCAAGAAAACAAATGATCCCAAATGTTGGAGAGGATGTGGGGAAAGGGGAACACTCATCCACTGCTGGTAGGGCTGCACACTGGTTCAACCCTTATGGAAAGCAGTGTGGAGAAGTCTTAAAAAACTACAAATGAACCTACCGTTTGACCCAGTTATATCACTCCTTGGCATATACCCAAAGGACTCATCCTATTGTAGAGACACTTGTACAACCATGTTTGTTGCTGCTCTTTTCACACTAGCTAAGAGATGGAAGCCACCTAAATGTCCCTCAATTGACAAGTGGATAATGAAAATGTGGTTCATTTTCATGATGGAGTTTTACTCAGCAGTAAAGAAAGATGAAATCATGAAATTTTCAGGTAAATGGATGGAACTAGAAACTGTTATACTAAGTGAAGTAACACAGACTCAGAAAAAAAATCGACATATATTCTCCTTCATATGTGGATCCTAGAACCAGACTCTGCTAAATAAGTATGCAACCAGATATAACTACAGGAACCAGGATCATGGAAAGGAACCAGGGAGGTAAAGGAAAAGAAATAACCTGAAAGAGAAGAACAGTAGGAAACAGGCCTTAATAAGAGAGATATGGATAAAAATTGGGTTAGTTTAAGGGAGGGTGGAGGGAAGGGTATACAAGGAACCTAAGGGATAAAGGGAAAGAAGGAGCTCCAGAGAGGCAGTACCTTGGGAGAAGGGTATTATTAGGGGAGAAAGGGGGGAAATGGGCACACCTTAAGTGGGAAAATCATGATGGAGGGGTGAGACAATGTGAGAGGTAAACAATGCCTAGCTAGTTTTGAAAACCAGAGGGAACCATATTACTCCTACAACCTACTGACAAATTATACATAGCAGATGAAGGAATATATGTCTAGGTACGGTTTATCTGAGAATGACTGGTCTTTGCCCAAGATTTATCTACATGACACACAGGAATTAAAAATACCAGACTGGTGGAACTGACCTTCTTGGGTGTTTAACAGACGTACTTTGAGGCCTATGATAATTTGGTCCGAAGGACATAAAGGACACTTTTTGCTCCTTGCCCTCCTAAGTCGACTAGTTCCAGGGGACTATGAGCATCTCTCAAAATGTCCTATAATGGTGGTGGGTCACCTGTCCTCTTGATCAGGGAGGTCGAGGAGACCCCACCAGATGGACTTGAACCAGTGTCCAGTCTATAAAGAGGAGGGTCAACACAGAGGAATAATTTCCTCCGTGCTTCCAAGCGAAGCCAACCATAGTTGAGCAGGACCTTTGACTTATCTTCACATAGGTGGAACTGGTAAAAGAAAGGAGCCAGGGGCTCCTCCCAAGCCCATGTGACCCCTGAGGGAACGACCTTAAGAGTAAAGATACATCAGTTTATCTGGACCAACTGTATGGCCTTAAACACCCAAAAGGAAAGTATAACCAAAGATTAAAGGGGCCAATATAATTTCATACGTGTCCATATGTATAGCTAAAGGCTTCATAACAAGCAACAATGTCAGACAGGCGATACCTTCTTTTGAGTTGTTGGCCAGGGTGGCCAAAGTAATTCCCAGATGGTAACCCAGCATTGAACTGGGAAAATGAACAGCAGACCCAAATCTTATCCAAAGGAATATTGACAACTGATTACCACTAGATGAGGAACAGCTGACCCTCCTAAAACAAAGACCTCTAGATAGGCTGACTAGATTCACCAGAAGGGAATGGCTAGGGGTGCCGACAACACAGCAGATAGTAGCAGGGTTATCAGAGTGTAAGGGCTTTAGTGGCGGGGGGCTATGGGAGGGTGCCACCTGGGAAGTGTGTGTAAAAATAAATGAATAAATAAAAAATTAAAAAAAATAATTCTTCAAAGCATAAAAATTTGCTCCTTAATAACTGATGGATGTGAAAAACATTACCATTGAAATCTACCTGATGACTTTATATCCATGCTCAGATGCCAAGGAGCTCA